TCTATGGATTGTACCAATGTCAGTTTCTGGGTTTTGATATTATACTGTAGTTGTACATGATGTTGGCATTGGGGGAGGCCAAGGTAAGAATGCACAGGCCTTCCCTGTACCTCTTGTGAATCTAAAATTATTTCAAAATGAAAAGGAGCATTCTGGCTACCAAGTGGAAAATGGATTTGAATAGAGGTTAGGGTGAATGTGGGGGGAAACTACTGTGTGATTAGTGTATTAGTCTAGAAAAGAGATAAATGATTGTGGCTGGAATTGGGTGGTAACTGCAAGAATAGAGAATGAACACATCTGAGAAATATTTAGGATTTTGGAATTTATAAATTTTTGGAACTTACAAATTTATGGAATTTATAAAATTAATGGATGGGATGTAAGAGGTTAAACAGAATGACTTCAAGGGTATTTTGAAGTTAAACTTTGCCCCGTATTTCATTGCCTTGAAAATAAATATACATTTAGGACAAGATAGCAAAAATTTGGAAAACATCATTTTTTTTTTTTTTTTAAGAGAGCCTATTCCAGAACCAGAGGTGCTGTTGATAGGAGGTCACTTAGGGAGCTTTCCTAGGTTAAAGTGCACGCGAGCATTGTGTGAATAATCAATCTGTTGCCTCTCAACCCCGCTTTATCCTTCACTGCCTACTCTGCAAAAATTAAGATAGACCCCTTAAATATTCTTCCTTGGCCAGCTAGCATGATGTTATACTTTGTCACAGCGGGTGCAGGAGGAAGGGGTTTTCCTTCCTGTTACAGTTGCTCCTCTTGGTGGGCTTCTGCAGCACCCATGTCTTCTCCAGTGTCCAGCTTCTGTAGTGCTGGCAACTTATCCAGGGCCAGACTCCTGCAATACACGCAGTACCCGAGCCAACAGCTTCCTCTGGCACTCTCCGATAAGGTCAGAATCTCAGCCTGGAGAGGGAGGGCCCTCTCCTTTGGGTGCTCCATCTCAGCCTTAAGGGGAGTGGCTCCTCCTCATACCTGCTTTTCCCACTTTTTTTTTAATTATGTATTTTTTTTAAGTAATCTCTGCACCCAATGTGAGGCTCGAACGCAGGACCCTGAGATCAAGAGTCACATGCTCTACCGTTGGAGCCAGCCAGGTGCCCCTGCTTTTCCCAGATTCTTTAGCCTTCTTTAGACTTCTTATTATCCAATCCCTCCCTACGGCAATCTCCTGCTGTAGTTAATAGTTTTTTATGGTAAACTTAACCCTATTCAAATTACTGTGTGGTTCTGTGTCTGGATTGAAGCCTGACTCAGAAAGCCATCCCCCAAATTTTGCGGTTGTGATGCTCTCAATTTTGAGCTTTTAATGGCCCATCCATATTTGTCAATAAAGGGCTCCCGGTGGTTGACCAATGTATAGAGGTTGCTAAGCTGACCATGTTTATAACTATATCGTGAAAGGATTCAAACCAATGTTGCAAAACTCCCAAACACCTAGAATTGGGTTTTTTATTTCTATTCAATTTTAAACACATTTATGATTTTAAATGTTTGAAAATAAAACTTACAGGATTTTTTTTCTGAAAAAAAAGTTTACATGTAAATCTAAACCAACTTATATCAGTCTTTATACTTAAACACACCACTGTGTTACCTTCCACAATACAAACAGGCAAAGTTTGAGATGTAATATATTTAAGGCAAAAACTATAAATTCAACACTTCAAAATATGTGACACAGGAGTTTATTAGATTCCAGGCCAAGGATGGCTGCTGACCGAAATGATTACTTCTTTCTGTGGCATGTGATAATGTTGATTGTTTCTCTCTCTCTCTCTCTTTTTTTTCGATTGCCCTAACACTCCTGTTTTTTCATTTTTCATTCATTCTCAATTTCCTTTACAGGTTGCTCTATCTCTACCCATCCTTTAAAATGTCAGCGTTGGTGTGACTGGGTGGCTCAGTCGGTTAAGCATATCACTTTGGCTCAGGTCATGACCTCAGAGTCCTGGGATGGTCACTCCCCATCCCACTGCACACCTGCCTGAGGCAGTCAGGCTCAACGGGAAGTCTGCTTGTCCCTCTTCTCTCTCTGCCCCTCCTCCGTCCCACTCGCTCATGCTCTCTCTCTCAAATAAATAAAACCCAATAAAATAAAAATAAAAATAATAAAATATCAGTATTTCCCTGTATTCTGTCCTTGGCTCTCATTTCTCATTGATCCTGGGTAGTTTATCCACTTTTAGGTAATGCCTCCTTCATTTATATCTGCCGCCTAGGCCTGTCCCCTGAGCTCAAAAGTCAATTATGTGATCCAACCTCTAGTCTAGGAGTCAGCAGATTAATCTGTGGGCCAAATTCAGTACACTGCCTATTTTTATAAATAAAGTTTTATTGGAACACAGCCATACCCACTTGTTTACATATTGCCTATGACTGATTTCCTACTACAATGGCAGAGTTGAGTAGTTGTGACAGAGAACAGAGGGCCTGTGAAACTATAATATTTATTATCTGGCCCTCCACAGAAAAAGTTTGCTGACCCTAAGCTGTGCTTTCTATTGAGTTTTAGGCATGATTTAAACAGTGGGGTAAGCCCACCAACAATAGATTTCCCTGAATTTCTCTGTATGAAGGAGGGAGTAAAGATGAATTCTGGAATTCATAACCAAGCATCATGGATAAAGACTATAACAGCAAAGTGAAGGGATATTTTTGTTAGGATTCTGTCATACTGGAGGCATAAGGAATTATCATGCACAATTCTCATTGCTGTAGAATCACATAGAGAGCATTTACATTTCCAGACCTCATTCTCAACAATCCTGACTCAGTAAATCTCGGGAGGGGTTTGGGAATCTGAAATTTTAGAATGCCCTCCAAGTCTGGCATGTAGCAAGTAAGTAGTCAGAATTTGGAAGTCAAATCGATCTAAAACTCCATCACGGGGTAAGATGGTCTTTTTATTCTTGATGAATCATTAAAAAGAGGCCGATTTGTTTCTCTTGATTTACATATTATTTCTGAGTCTCTAGCTTTAGGGAATTACAATAAAGAATTCAAAATCTCTTTGCAATGATTTTACTCAACCACTCTCCTTGCACTAAGGTTTATATAAAGAAAACTCTACATTTCCATAATGCCTGATATTTCCAAAGTACATCTCTCAACAACCCTGTAAGGTATAGTGTAAGACCCAATTTGCTTTATCACAGAATTAGCTTAGGCTTTATCACACTCAACAAAACCCTGTCAATCCTGTCATCCCAGGGCCACTTCCAGTCTGTTTATTCACACATTCATTCAACAAACGACAAAAAATGTGAACACTTGCCAGTCAGTGTTAGGTACCAGAGGATACAGCAGTGAACTGGATAAAATTCCTGCCTGCACAGAGCTTACCTTCTAGCTGCTGGGAGGTGAGGTGCGGAGGAGGATGGGCTTCTCTCTCTTTTTTTTTTCAAAACTTACTAGAGGGTAAAATTTGTCCCCCCGACATACCCTATCCTTTTAAAGCTGATTCTGAGGCTATGGTGCTTGCCTGTTATGTAGTTGCTAAGACTATACATTGGCTTCATTTATATTTGTTTTTTTCTGATACTGTATGTGCAGTTGAGTGAGTTTTGAGTCTTGTCTCCGGAGGGATGAGACTCCTTTTGTTTGCGGTTAGTCCTCATATGAATGAGTGCTTTTCAGTGATTCTAACATCAAAATAAGCCCAGTGTCTCACCTGATTGAAGATTAGAGCCTGCACCTACAGATTCTCTTTAGTAGGATTACTGGAAAACCTAACCACAAACAGGGACAACAGTTTTGTGAAAGTGAGTCAAAGAATGTCAGAACTAGAAGAGACCTCAGAGATGCAGCCCGACTGCCTTCTAAAGATCATAATAAGTCTGAGACTCAGAGAGGTTATCTAGGTTGCTTCAGGTCACACAGCCCAACTGTGTGATGGGTGTGAATCAGTGACCAAATCCAATGTACAATCACACTGGGGTTCCTTCTCCTAAAATGTAACGTCTAAATCAGGTCCAGTCTTCTCACCGCTCCTACCCACCCTCCTCTCTTGTATTAAAGTCCTCATCGCTCTTTCTTGAAGAGTCAAGTCATTAAAACTTGAAGTTGGGGCATTCAACAAACAGGTGTCCAGACCACGGACACGGAGTCGGGGAACGTGGATCCCCACAAGCCGGCCGAGAACTCTCCAGCTCCCGCTTACAAAGTTTTCTCGGATCCTACGTTCCTCTTTCAGATCCCTGGCTGCGAGGCCAAGATGCCTGCTGTGGCCTCCGACCAAGTTCGCAGATGCCATTTCCTCGCAGGAGCGCGGCCGGACCTAGCCGGCCGCAAAGCCGGGCGTCCTCAGGCCTGGCGGGCGGCGGGGGAGGCCGGGCGCGGGGCTGGGCGGGGCGGCCCCTCGGCGCGCGACTGCCCGCCCCGGCTACGAGGGCCGCGGGCCCGCGAGTCCCGGCGCGGAGCGAGAGGCGCGCGCGGGCCGTGGGGGCTGGGCCGAGGCGGAGCGCGAGACAGCGGCGGCTGCAGGCGCCGCGGGACCAGGCAGCGGCCCCCGCCCCCCGAAGTCCGTCCCCGCGCGGGGCTGGGAAGCTCAGGGCGGGGAAGCCGCGGGGCCGCGCCACGTCCCTCGCCCGCCCCAGAGCGCGTTTTGCAGGCGGCTCCAGGCTGGGGGCTTTTGTGTCTGCGACTCGGGAGCGGCGAGAGCGCAGACCTCCTCCTCAGAGGGCGCTGTGAGTGCGCCGCCAGGGCCCGGCCGCCCGCCTCCTGCCTCCCCTGTCAGCGGCTCCCGAGGCGGCGGCGGCGGCGAAGAAGAAGAAGAAGAGGAAGGAGTGGGAGGAGGAGGAGGCGGCGGCGGCGGCGGCGGCGGCGGCGGTGCCCTCGTCCTCCGCACATGCCGGCCCCGGGCGGGGGGCCGCCCCCAGGCCGCGCTCCCGGCCGCCGCCGCTGAGCCCCGCCAGCCCCCGCTCGCCGCCCGGCCGCCCCGAGGCCTCGTCTTCCTCCCAAACTTTGCAAAGTCGGCCCGCGTCCCCGCCGCCCTCGGCCGCGCCTCGGCTCGGAGGCTCGCCTCGCAGCCGCAGCGGCCCCGCGAGGAGGAGGAGCCGCCGCCGCAGCATCAAAGAGACCGAATTCCCGCGGCCTGGGGGGGAGTCATGCTTTGCGGTCTGTAATGTCAGCAGAACAGGAGAAGGATCCCATTTCGCTGAAGAGAGTTCGAGGTAACCGGGAAAGGCACGGGATTGGGGGGATCGGGGTGAGTGGGGTGCGCGGGGGCCGCATGCCCGGCCGCTGGGAGGCCACGGGGCTCTGTCCGGGCCTAACTCCGCACAGCCCGCGCGTCCCGCCTGCGCCCCGGGGCCGAGGCTGCGGTTCGAGGCGCGCGGCCCCGGAGCCCGCTCGCCCCAGACACCCGCGCGGAGCCCTCGCCTCCTCGACTTTGTGTTAGGAGGCAGTTGAAGCCGCGCTCAGCATCCCTCCGTACCCCGCTCCTCTCCCACCTTAGCTCGTTCGCGAGACAGCACAATAGGCACCTCGAAGGGTGAGAAAGAAACACCCCCCGGCAGAGACCACGAACGATGCCCACCCCCCCAAAAAGTAAGTTGGACTGCTCAAGAGTTGACGCTTTGAGGAAGGTGTACCGGGCCTTCGCGTCTCTCCCAGCCCCCTTCCCACCTCAAAGGCAACAAATATACAGCTTATTTTGCTCGGGTTTAAGAGGAGACACTATATAAATTCAAAAGGCATTTTCTTTATTGCCTCGTGGATAAGAATCACATCACCTAAAATCAATTTTATACGTGATTGGTTTGCTGCTTCCTTGCACACTAGTTAGGAAATTTCTTGCTGCCTTACTATCCAAGAAAAATCGGAGGGAACGCTGTACCAGACAAAAGATAATGCATGTAAGTTCACAGATGACAAATACCGGCTGGAAATTTGGGGCATATCCTCCAGCTTTTATTTTCAGCTCTAAATAGGGTTAAGGCTGAAAGTCCCAAAGTTGAAATAATGCTGTTTGTTCATTAAGCAAATGTTTATTGAACATGTACTGTGTGCTATGCAATGTTCTTGGCACTGGGGTACAACAGTGAACAAAGCAGAAAGAGTCTTCACCTGGCAGGAGTTCACATTCTAAACAGATAATGAACAAAAGGTATAGAATGTCAAATAGTAAGTGCTCTGGAGATAAACAAAGCAGGTAAAGTGGTTAGGAAATACATAAGAGGTGGAGAGGTGTGGATTATGTGTAAGAGGACTCATGTGGAAGGTGATGTTTGAGCCAGGACCAAAGGAAGTGATAGACCAGAGCCATATAGATAGGTGTGGGAAGAGCAGTCTAGGAAGAGCAGTCTCAGCAAAAGGAACAGCAAGTGCAAAGGCCCTGGGTCTGGAATTTGCCTAGTGTATTCAAGCAACAGCGAAGAAATTATGGTAACCAGCAGAGAATGAGCAAAGGGAGAGTAGTATGAGCTGAGGAGAAAGATAGGGTGAGAAGAAGTGTGCGTGCGTGTGTGTGTGTGTGTGTGTATTTAAGATTTTATTGATTTGAGAGAAAGAGTGCATGTGCATGAGGGGAGGAGGGGCAGAAAGAGAGGGAGAAGCAGACTCCCTGCTGAGCAGGGGCTCAATCCCAGGACCCCAAGATCATGACCTGAGCCCAAGGCAGCCACTTAACTGACTGAGCCACCCAGGCGGCCCAAGAATTATATTTTTAACAGGGTTTCTTTGGCTGCTCTGTGGAGAGTAGACTATAGGGAACAAGGGCTGAGGCAGGGAAGCTAGTTAGGAGGCTATTGCAATAATCCTTTCATCCAAACAGGATAAAGTGCTTTATAAATCAGTAAGTAGTAAGGTAAATTTCCAATTGACTTAAGTGATGTAGAGATCAAGAACTGCAGTCATTCATCTGTGTTTTTGTTCCACGTGACTAGAGATTAAACCTAGAGAACTGGATTGTAACACTGTGACAATGTGGTATCCAAAAAACATCACTTGAATATTTAGGTAGAGATTGATTTTCTTAGCCATTTAAGCAAAAACATAATTTAGAGCAGAATATTGTTTTTAAGGCTTGATACCAGCATAGGTTTTCTATTTCGGCTTTCTTTTCTATTTGTAGTTTTCAGTTGCCAAACCCTTTAAGGAATAGACCTTCCTGAGATACAATTATTCCTCTGATATTCTTGCCGTATTAGTTTGCCTATTATTATAAATTACTTTGGGGTTGAAGGAAAAAGAGGGCTCTCAAGTTTATGCCTTTGAACTCAATTATCAGTCTTAATCAAATGTAATTTTGAATAAAATGGATGGGTATTTTATTGTAGGTCAAGAGCATAGATCTATCATTATTTTGTTCCAGCTACTGCTTTTAAGTTTGGTGGCTTAGCTGTTTGTAGTTGGCTCAGGTGTCAGCTCAAGAATATTCTGCGAGTTAGGTACCAGAATAAAAGGCAAAGAAAGCACTTTTTAAAATAAAAAGTCAATATGAGGAGGGGTTTTGTTGTGGCTATAACAATTTTTTCCATTTTATTTATTTATTTTTTTAAAAATTTTATTTTATTATATTGTGTTAATCACCATACATTACATCATTAGTTTTTGATGTAGTGTTCCATGATTCATTGTTTGCGTGCTCCATGCAGTATGTGCCCTCTTTAATACCCATCTCCAAGCTATAACAATTTTTAAAACATTTTTGGATTATTTTATAAAAGGTACCAGAATATCTGCATGAGTTCTTCTGAAGCACAGTTCTGCTGAACTTGACTGCTCTGCAACTTTTTGTTGTAATTTATATTCTAAGACTGCATGCAGGATGTGGTCTTTGCAGAACATAAACTGTGAGCAGTGCTTCTTAAACTGTTTCCCATCCACCCATGTATACAGACAGACTTTTAAGTAGTTATGTATTTATTTCGTATGTATTATAAAAAATATGTCATCAAACCTCTTGTTTAGGTTAAGGCCAATATACATACACACGGTTTCAATTTAAAGAAATTATTAAGCAAACAGTATTATAGATGGAACTCTGACATGGCAAAATTATGACAATGTGAATGACTAAGGACTTTATCAGTGGTATACTCTGTAGATCAAAAGTATCATATTCCCTGGGATATTTGTAAAAATGTAGGTTTCTGGGCCCACAGAATCAGGATTTCTGGGAGATTTCTCTACATCTTTAACAAGATCCCCCGTGTTCCTTATGCTTACTAAGGTTTGAGAACTGCTGGTAGATGTAGATTGAAAAGGTGAGTGGACCAGAGGAAGCTGATTTGTGGTCTTCTAAACGTGTCCTGATATTTTAATATTAGATTTAGAATTGCTACTTAGTGGCAAAGTATCTTACTCTTATTTTCTATCAGTTGTTACCATCCCCAGTCCCTCAGCCCTTGATTATAAGAAAGATCCATGAAGACAGGTACAGTATCTTGGTTATCTTTCTATTTCTCCCCTCATTGCTTTGCCTGCAGTAAATGCCAAATGAATGAATGAGTGAATACATGAAGTAACTCATTCATATGTTCATGCTGATTTTTGATTGTCTGTTCTCTTAGAATGTTACCTGTCATCCTTATTTTAACCAACATTCTCATTATCCAACATTCTTAGAACTCTTAGGTGTTGATCTGATCACAATATCCATTCATTTATTCAGCAAATATTTATTGAGCAGTCATAGCATCAGACAGTGGAAATATTGATTAAGAAGGCATAATTCTGTCTTCAAGAAATCTGTAGGATGCAGACAAATAAGTAGTTACAAACAGCATGAGAAGTGCTGTGATCCCCTACAGGAAATAATGGAACATATAACCTATCTTTAAGGGAATCAAGGAATGCCTCCTGGGGAAGGGTTCTAAGAAGCAGTGAGTGTTCCTTTGTGGAAATGATGTAGAAAGAGCAGCAAGGAGGATGGGGGATGAGAAAAAGGTCTAGTAAGTCGGCAGTGGTTTTAAGGAGGCACTTCTGGGTAATAAAGCATTCAATACATGTTTTTAAATAAGTACCATGTGCTAGGCACTTGATGTGGGAAGCGAGAGATGAGACAGAAAAGGTTTCTTTCTCAAAAGTCAGGTCTCTGCAGGTGAGAGAAGTGAAATAGCATTAAGGTTTGAACGAAATGGAGAGGTAGTCTTGGAGGAAAAAAAAGAGAGTGAAGAAAGAAATTTAGAGATAAAGAAGGAAGTTGAGCATTCATTCCAGATGAAGTGTTTTTAACCAGTTAGCTGGTTAAACACTGGAGAGATTGGGGTGTTTCAGAATGGGATAATAGCATAGAGGTATCATAAAAGTAGTAAAAGTAGACTTTACTAAAAAATGTAGGCCATGTAGAGTGAGTGTATGGAGGATTTGGATTAAGGTTGGAGAAGAAACGTAATTTATGTAGTCATAAAATGGAGAGGAAGAGCCAGTGGCTGTCTAAAGGAAAGATTTTAGGGGGTTTTGTTGTTTTATTTTTTAACTGGTACATATAAGGGCTAGGCAGATTATCAAGAAAGTAGTTTGTTTTTCAACACATTGCATGAATATCCCCCTGAGATGTTTGAGGGTGCACAATGGATATACATGGTGTGGAACTGAGGAAAGTGGGCTGAGCCAGAAATAGAGATATGGAAGTTCTCAGTAAACGAGTGAGTACTAATTGATACCTTGGGAGCAGATAGCTCACCCGGGAGAGTGAAAAGTGAGAAGAGAAAAGCATTGAGAAAAGCAACTTTAGGAATGCTGATACTTAGAAGACAAAAGGGAAGAGAGGACCCTGAAAAGCAGAATGTGAAGGAGTAGCCTGAGAGGTAGAAGAGAAGAACCAACAGAGAATAGTGTCACAGAAATATAAAAGGAAGAGCGGATTTATGAGGGGAAGATCAATGAACTTTGTTTTTAGCCTGTTGATGGAAATGTATCTATCTGTGAGATGTCCAGTGTGCTCTTTCTCCCACATTCCCTGTCTTGGCGAACATCATTTATCCAGTGACCCAAACCCATCTCCCATTCCCACCCAACACGTGCCCAAAGTCCTAGAATATGTCTCCTTTGCATGTTTTGAACCCACCATCTCCTTGGCCCTTCTATAACCACTTCTTTAGTTCAGACTTTATCTTTTTGATTATTATCATAGGCCTTTCACTGGTTTCCTGGCCTTCTGTTTTGTCCCTCTGAATCTATTTTCCACATTGCTACTGCTGGTGATAAATAACTACCATCTATTGAG